TACCTGGACTTTCGTCCGATTGTCTTTAATAGGCGGGAGTGTTTTGGGGCCCTTTGGTATCAACAACAGCTTTGGCCCTTATCAGCTGAGAAAGAGAGAGAGAACAGAAACAATAAGCAACAGAAGAATAATCAAAGCTGAAATCAAATTAAACAAACTTATTTATATCAGCTATGGTTACTAACATTTTAACGTTTACTTGAATATTATATTTTATTCACGGCTATCATTCGTAGTAGGCCTATTCACAAACTGTTTTTTTCAAAATGTTTTCCCTAATACTTTTGTTGATGCATATTTCTTTGGTGCTGCTCTTCCCATTCCCTCATTGGTAAGAGAGCTGACGGCTTCCGCTGTGTGAGGACGCAACTGCAGAAATTAAAAAATGAAGAAATAAACAGATAAATAGATATCAATGTTTTTTTTGTGTTGTAAACGCCTCTTTAAAAATAAATATCGCTCAAGTCCTGAGGAGCTAAACCATTTAGTGCTTTAAAATAATGATTTCGAACCACTTGACATGCTGTTTTTCACAGGCATTAACAAGAGCAGCGTGAGCATCCACAATGTGTGCTATTGTGTTTCACAGAAGGGTTGGAAACATGATGAAGGCGAGAAAAATGAAGAAGAAATTAGCTCCGCTTTAAAAAGTGTGAATTACGATCATACCTGTTTGTTGGTCTCTCCTCGTGGAAAACCTGGAGCAGTTGTCTCTCCATTGCGGATACCTTTTCCCATCAGCTTCCCAGACGTCCCTCCTGAAACCTGATTCCAGCAATCAGGATTCGCTGGTCATTCTGCTTGTTTTCCAGAGACATTTTCTTTTCTTTCTGCAACTGAAGACAAACACTGTTATTATCATGCATTTCATCTACTCCACGTTACTTCATAACACATCACTGTAATCGGCAATAGTACTGTTATAGAGCTATATATATAATATAATATATAATATATATATATATATATAGCTAATATAACTAATATAATAAATCAGATACCTGGACTTTCGTCCGATTGTCTCTAATATGAGGGAGTGTTTCGGGGCCCTTGGTGTCAAACAACAGCTTTGGCCTTTATCAGCTGAGAAAAGAGAGAGACAGAACAATAAGCAACAGAAGAATAATCAAAGCTGAAATCAAATTAAACAAACTTATTTATATCAGCTATGGTTACTAACATTTCTAACATGTTTACTTGAATATTATATTTTATTCACGGCCATCATTCGTAGTAGCCTATTCACAAACTGTTTTTCAAAATGTTTTCCCTAATACCTTTTGTTGATGCATATTTCTTTGGTGCTGCTCTTCCCATTCCCTCATTGGTAAGAGAGCTGACGGCTTCCGCTGTGTGGGGGACGCAACCTGCAGAAATTAAAATGAAGAAATACACAGATAAATAGATATTCAATGTTTTTTTGTGTTGTAAACGCCTCTTTAAAAAATAAATATCGCTCAAGTCCTGAGGAGCTAAACCATTTAGTGCTTTAAAATAATGATTTCGAAACCCACTTGACATGCTTTTTTCACAGGCATTAACAAGAGCAGCGTGAGCATCCACAATGTGTGCTATTGTGTTTCACAGAAGGGTTGGAAACATGATGAAGGCGAGAAAATGAAGAAGAAATTAGCTCCGCTTTATAAAGTGTGAATTACGATCATACCTGTTTGTTGGTCTCTCCTCGTGGAAACCTGGAGCAGTTGTCTCTCCATTGCTGGACCTTTTCCCAATCAGCTTCCCAGACGTCCCTCCTGAAACCTGATTCCAGCATCAGGATTCGCTGGTCATTCTGCTTGTTTTCCAGAGACATTTTCTTTTCTTTCTGCAACTGAAGACAAACACTGTTATTATCATGCATTTCATCTACTCAACGTTACTTCATAACACATCACTGTAATCGGCAATAGTACTGTTATAGAGCTATATATATATATATATATATATATATATATATATAATATATAGCTAATATAACTATATTAATTAATCAGATACCTGGACTTTCGTCCGATTGTCTCTAATATGAGGGAGTGTTTCGGGGCCCTTGGTGTCAACAACAGCTTTGGCCTTTATCAGCTGAGAAAGAGAGAGAGACAGAACAATAAGCAACAGAAGAATAATCACAGCTGAAATCAAATTAAACAAACTTATTTATATCAGCTATGGTTACTACTGTTTACTTATATTTTAATTCACGGCTATCATTCGTAGTAGCCTATTCCCAAACTGTTTTTTCAAAATGTTTCCCTAATACCTTTTGTTGATGCATATGTCTTTGGTGCTGCTCATCCCATTCCCTCATTGGTAAGAGAGCCGACGGCTTCCGCTGTGTGGGGGACGCAACCTGCAGAAATTAAAAATGAAGAAATAAACAGATGAATAGATATATGGTACCTGTTTAATAAATCAACTATCCCTTTAAAATGGTGTACTATGTCAATCAAGTGTAACGTCATAAACACTTAGAATTTCCCATAAATGCTGTTTTTTCATTTAAGTAATCCCTTAATAAGCGATAAGTGTTCCATAAAACCCCTTAATGTCTGGCAGGTTTGTGTGTTTCAGCGCCATTCTCCTTTTTAAGCCCCGCCCTAACATTTTTCTTGTTCGAGAAGCTGTTGTGTTGACAAATCTGGTCCTCCCTTGAAATCGGGTTGATTTTTATCTCGATAACTTAAGCCTTAAATGCTTTTTTGTTGTAAACGCCTTTTTAAAAATAAAGCTCGGTCAAGTACTTACCATTTTACGGCCCCTCCTGTGATCTGACTCCTGCGTCATGATTGGCTGGTTGAGCTCCTCCTTCTTTCTCTGTGTGTTTACACTGTAAAACCAGATATATAACATTATCATAACATAACATAAATAACATTTTTATTACTTGTCAAATTAAATAGAATATTTTTTTTTAATGTTTTACTTTATTTCAAAATAATTTCTACATCTTGTTTAGATGTTTTATATATACATGAGACGCAGCTCAAATAAACACCTCGCTGAGTTACTATGTTAACCAGCTACACACTGACGTCTGAGCACACACACACACACACACACACACACCTGAGCTGTGGGCAATGTTTCCTGTTGTCCACCAGATCTTTAGTGATTGCAGGAAGTTTTGTGGCCAGACGATGATTGTCCACAACTAATTTGGCCATTCTCAACTGAAACAGAGACAGAACAACATCAACATATAACTCATATAACTCTAACTGAGCGGCTCAAATCTATCTAAAAATAACAGGAACGTCTGTGTGTGTGTGTTTGTGTGTGTGTGATGGATTTCAGACTTGACTGGTGTCTTGCTACAGGTGCAGTGACGAGTTTTACGTTGTTTGGATTAGCTATAAATGCAAAATACACTACCGGTCAAAAGTCTTAGATCAGTAATATTTTTTATGTTTTTAAATGAAGTCTCTTCTGCTCACCAAGGCTGCTTTATTTGATGAAAAAATGACAAAACAGTAATATTGTGAAATATTATGACAATTTAAAATGACTGTTTTCTATTTTGATATATTTTAAAATGTAATTTGAAAGCTGAATTTTCAACATCATCAGTTTTCAGTGTCACATGATCCTTCAGAAATCATTCTAATATGCTGATTTTATGCTCAAAAAACCTAAATTATTATTTTCAATGTTGAAAACAGTCGTGTACCATTTCCCCCCCAAAATTCTGTTGAAGAGAAAGTTCAAAAGAACAGAATTTATTTAAAATATAATCTTTTCTAACATTATAAATGTCTTTACTGTAACTTTTGATCAATTTAACTCATCCTTGATGAATAAAAGTATTTTCTAATTTCTTTCCCCCAAAAATAAAAAAATAAAAATTCTTATTGACCCCAAACTTTTGAAGGGCAGTGATTAATGTTACAAAAGCTTTCCATTTCAGATCAATTCTGTTCTTTTGAACTTTCTATTCATCAAAGAATCCTGAAATAAAAATTTCAAAAACTGTTTTCAACATGGATAATAATCATAAATGTTTCTTGAGCATCATATTATAGTCATTTCTGTAGGGTCATGGCACACTAAAGACTTGAGTAATGATGCTGTAAATTCAGATTTGATCACAGGAATAAATTACACTTCACTATACATTCACATAGAAAACCGCTGTTTTAAATTGTAATATTTCACAACATTACTGTTTTTTGTGGTATTTTTTATCAAATAATTGCTGCCTTGGTGAGCAGAAGATACTTCTTTTAAAAACATAAAAAATCTTACCGATATAAAACTTTTGACCGGTAGTGTATATCAGTAAATAACTATATAAGAAGCACTTAGAAGGTTGTGGTTCAAAAATAATCATTCTGACATAAACACATAAAAAACAACAATTACTAAAACACACAAAAACTGATTTTGTTCGGGCACTTTGCACTAACTTAGATAAATTTCACGCTATATCAAACATAACGTTACTAAAAAAAAGCAATTATAACTCCTTAAGTTACCTTGTCGTCGTCGGACAGGGTCCAGCTATTCTGAATACAGTTCACGGAAAGTTTCACAGACCGGTCGTTCATCTGGTTCTTCTTTCCTTGATGTTTGGACGTTTCAGAGTTCGTTATAAAAATATAATACCGTGCAGATTTCACAAATTCAATGTTCTTCCAAAGACGTTCGAAACCAAGCGGAGAGACAGTGAAGTGCAGTGGAGGCTACTGTGATGTCACAGGGCAGTGCAGCGAGAGGACGCCTTGGCAGACGGCCAACGCCCACGCACATCGTTTCTCTTAGTAGTATGAAAATAATCTTATTTAAAGTGAAGTTTGATATCTGTCTTGCAGTTTTTTTTTTTCTTGTTATTTTTTTCTTTTTTTCTGTCTTGCAGTTAACCAACTGTCACACGTGACCTCCCCTGAGGCGCCATCTTAGAGGGCATAACTTTTTTCCTTTTTTTTTTTTTTTTGAGTTAGTGGGTATACTCTTAATTTATGCCCCCAATATTTTTTTAAGCATCCCAGCAAAGGATGAACGCTCTGTGTTATAAACAGTGACATGTAAGACTACTAGTCTTGCATTAGTACTATTCAATATGCAAGAATATAGAATAGAGTATAATAAATACAATAGAACACATAGAATCAGTATTCTTGCATATCAGGGCCGCACATATGGTTTTCTAAATACCCAGGTCCCATAAATGATATTGTTAGGGGGGTTCGGGGACATGATCTCGAAATGAGCATTTTAAGGTGTTTTGATGGTCAAAAAAAATGACAACAGTAGCTTTAAAAGCATGAAGTAGCCTATTTGATCAGATTCTTAAACATGATGAGAATCAGTTCCAGTTTCAGCTACTTTTCTTTCTTAAATGAATCTATGTCTTTTGGACTAATCTGTTAATTTAATTAACGGCTCACTCAAAAAGACAGTCTTGTCGCCACCCTCTGGCTTAATGATGCAAGTAGCGCATACACAGACAACAAGATGTAAACAACACTGGTCCAGAAGCACTTCCTGTTTCAGTTTGTAACTGTTTTCTTTATTTCACATGTAAAGAAAACATCTTAAAGATGTTTGTTTAACTTTTTGATTCAGTTTTAAATGTTCTGTTGGTTGTATTTTATCCCAGCTTTTATGTAGTGTTAAAAAACTGAAACAGGAAGTGCTTCTGGACCAGTGTTGTTTACATCTTGTGAAATGGTCTACAAACAGTGAAAAGTCAAACACATTCGAAAAAACGTTATACAAATATATTTTTTTTATTTATTTGATCATACACAATTTATATCTCAGTAATTGCTTAAAGAGGAGAAGACAAATTGTATTTTATTTTTGAAACTGTCTATTTCATGAGAAAACATTGTGTGTTTGTAACCAAGTTGGAATGTGATTGTGGAATAAACCCTCTTGGCTCTCTTTCTGCTGAGAGAGATTAAAGACGGACGCAGACTTTGCCCTGTCTCATTTATTTCTCCTGTTTCACATACCAGCCGGTACCTGTAACAGAAGCAAATGTCAAACAGATCCTGTTGACGATGCAAAACGTCTCATCAGTGTTCTCCACCAGTTGATGGACGGACAGCGTGGCATTGTAAGGCTCTACAACAGTGTCTGAGACTAGGTGAGGGCATCACGCTGAAGGCGCACATGATGCGGTTTGGTTAGGCCTACTCCTCACGGATTTTCTTAATGAGCAGCGAGCCCATGCCTGAATACGATGCTGAATAAAGACATAGATTTTGTTATCTTTGGACCAAAATGTATTTTTGATGATTCAAAAAAATTCTAACTAACTTATTTCCTTTCTGGACAAGGACAGTTTACCATGTACATGTTCAGTGGAGGGACAGAAAGCTCTCGGACTAAATCTAAAATATATTAACCCTCTGGGGTTGTTCGCTTCAGAGTCACACTTGGGGTGTTCGGGTCCAAATGGACCCAAAGGGCGGGATTCATATTTAAAAAAACTAAAAAAAATCATGATTTCTTTTTTTTACTCGTTTTTTTTATAATATTTTTTCTTTTCTTTTTTGGTGTTTTGGGAAAATGTCAAAAAAAATGTATAATTAGTATTAATGCAATAATTATGACAAAATTTCCCCCCATTGAACATAATAGAAAAAATATTTAAAAAAATTTTTTTTTAAAGCTGTATTTCATTTTAGAGTCAAGCCTAGGCCTCATAAAAGCAATTTTCGAAATTAGATGGATGCCATCTGGTGGACAAACTAAGCATTTTAAAAATGCAAAACACATGTATAATCTGAATTTTTTGGTGTGTTTGTGTATAAAAGTGTGTTTGTGGTTGTGTGTGTGTGTGTGTGTGTGTGTGTGTGTGTGTGTGTGTGTGTGTGTGTGTGTGCGCTCGAGTGTGTGAGCCTGCCACGAAGCTCAATGCAACTACAAATTATCATTTTTTTGCAAGTTTCAACGAAGCTTAGTCCCATTGTCCACATATGGGGACATCAACTTTAGCAGCTTGGTAAATCTTTATTTTTACAAAAGTTTGTCAAATGTGCATGCCGTTTCAAACATACAACACTATTATGCATAACTTAACAAGAATCAACAATGAAATGTTATTAGATCGTTTACCTTGTGGAAGTTTTGGTCTGGAGTGGCTGCATGACATGTGACCTGTTTTCTCTGCCATCTTTAAATTATTTATGTTAATTTTTTTTCTCTTCTGACGCCACCAGATGGCAGTGTAAGTGTCCTCGTTTGTGAAAAACATGTTCCAGTCACACAGAATTAAGTATTATGCTGCACAGAACCAAAAATGTGATGTCCCTGTATGTGCACACAGGGTCTCAGGAGGTTAAAATAAAACTGAAATGAAACATCATCAAACCTCTGTTAATTCTTAATAAGAGCTTGTCTACGTAGGTTAATGATTAGACGGCTGCATATATGAAAAAACAACACCTAACCCTAAAAAAATTCTAACAAAAGGTTTCTCAAATGTTTTTTGTAGTATTAGGTGTCCTTAATAATATACTCAAAGTTTACCAAAGTTTGACCACTAGAAAAGTGTAATTTTCAAGATGGAGTCCAAGATGGGCAGGAAGCCCTTAAAATATGCTAACTCCTTCATTATTTGAGCTAGCCAAGCAATCTTGGTGTCTAACCGCATGTTTTCTGGGTCTATGAATCCATTGGACTTTTCTAAATTGTGCTGATATGATTAGAAACTTATGGAATACATGATTTTGTGAGATTACTGTAAGGTTTTATCTTTATTGTGAACAAAGGGGTGGTGAACCAAATATCTAAACGATTTAGCCTTTATGTCTTTGAAGGATAACAACAGTTCAACAGTTCAGTTCATTGAACTGTTTCTGTTTTTTGTCTTGTCGTAATCCTCATGCAGCAATTTCTCTTGATCCAAACACTAATTTCTCCGGTGGGAGACAAATAAAGATACTCTGACTCTGAATATAATTTTTTATATTGTTTTATATGTTTTTTGTAGAACACTAAAGAACAGAACAAACAGGTCACAAGGGGTATAACATACACTTATGTTGTACTCTATTCCTTCCTTTATAATAATATCAGGAGAATAGTTGTAAGTGGCCCTTCAAGTCAATAAAATATTCAAGGTCTTCTTCCATGAGAATTCTCTCCATTGACCTGAACTTGAGGTAGTATACTGTGTTTTGCAAATGTTTAAACACTCTTCATCAGATAAAATTATGTTCCTTCTCCCATTTATCTTTCACATACTGTAGAGTTTTTTTTTTTAAAATTGTATACTTTAATATATTCTTTATATTTCTTGTGAGTTCCACTGTTATACACATCAATAAACTTATTGAGCATATTCATTTAAATTTTATCGTCATTTTAAATATTTTTATTATAATGGTTCCTAAGTTGTAAATATCTAAAGAAATCTTTTTTTTTCTAAAATATAGGTGATTTAGCCCATGTCATGTAACTCCTATGCTCAGTACGTGTTTTTGGACACATACCCTTTTTTTGCTAAAACACAGAATTGACATTCAATTTAAAAGTCATTGCACCTAAAAGTAACTTAAATTGCTTAAAATATGGGGTTGTAATAATTTGATCACAAACAACTCTGAATTAGCCCGAACAGAGGCCTGTGTGTGGAACCCTCTAAAATGGTCACTGTGGTATGGGGGGCGTGGTTTAGCGCTGTCTGCGGCGGGAGAGCGGGGGAGGAGTCGAGCGGGAAGTAAGCGGGTCAAGTTCAAATGATAAACACCTGTCTGTAATTCCAGTGATTGGCGTTGGGAGAGGATTTAAGCGGGCCAGTTGGACACATCACAGAGAGAGACTGGAGCTCGTGTGCCTGTGTGCTCGTGTGCTGAACTGGAGCGGTTCATGGATCCGGATTGGAAGCTAAAGGAAGCTGTGAATCAGCGGGAAAGAGTTTTTGTTCTGTTGTGTCTGAGAGATGGTGAAGTGTGCTGAGGAAAGATTATTACTTGTTTATCGAATAAAACACACGAGCTCCAGTATACGCCGACCCCTTGTCTTCTTCCATCACCTCCGTGAACCCTGAACCTTGTCACACTGGTGCCGAAAACCCGGGATGGAAGAAGCAGCAGCCGCCGCCAGGAATCCTCTGTCTTCGCCGTTTGCGGAGATCATCCAGGGACTCGCGGGCTTGCACCAACAACACCAGGCAGCCCTGTTGAAGATGGAGGAGCGTCAGGAACGTCGGTTCGACACGCTCCTCAAGGAACAACAGGAGGCCCGCGAGCAGTTCCGGAGCTGGGTGGACCAGGGGGTCCGGGCCCCGGCCGCGGCCCCCATGCTGCACAAGATGGGGCCGCTGGATGACCCGGAGGCCTTCTTGGACCTCTTCGAGAGGTCGGCCGCGGCCGGGAAATGGCCGGAAGCTGACTGGCCGCTGCGCCTCATTCCATTGCTGTCCGGAGAGGCGCAGCTCGCCGCCCAACACCTGCCCGTCAGTAACCTCCTGGTCTACCAGGACCTCAAACGCGCCATCCTGCAGCGGGTCGGTCGGTCTCCGGAGCAAAGCCGCCAGCGGTTCCGGTCCCTAGAGCTGGGGGAGATCGGCCGGCCCTTCGTCTTCGCGCAGCAGCTCCGGGACGCCTGCCGCAAATGGCTGGTGGCCGAGGGACGCGACGTCAACGGAGTCATCGAGCTGGTGGTGCTGGAGCAGTTCATCGCAAAACTGCCAAAGAAGACCGCGCAGTGGGTCCAGTGCCACCGGCCGACGTCGCTGGACCAGGCCATCACGTTGGCGGAGGATCAGCTGGTGGCGTGCCCGGGGGTCGGCGAACCCCAACCATCTTCTCTCTCTCTCTCTCTCCCCCCTCCCTCTC